ATATGGTGGGAATTCAAAATTACGATAAAATATGAGATAATCAGATAAATACGACAATAATTATCTTAGAATTTGTATCATCGTGTTATTAAATTTGGCAATATTGCACGATCGTGTAATCGTATTTAATACGCGTAATCGTAAACCAAAAGGGTACGCGCGCAATTGTATTCTACCCAGWTATTTGATATTATAAAAAGCAAAGCATAYTGCTGAGGCTTATATAGAATCATGAAAATAATAACTTACCTATTTTGACGATTCTAGGAAGGTTTAAATAATAAACTGAATTAGTTGTTGTGTTATACCAGCTATTAATAATATTAAAATCATAAACACATTTCATTCAATTACTTACTTATTTGTTTATTATTTAAATATTAAGGCTTTAACAGAATATAGATTAATTACCTTTCTTGAATATTTCTGTTTGTTATCAGTTCACGTAAGAAAGAAGTGTTAATTATTATATATTGGATTAATTTCCCACAAGTAACGCTGGTAAATACAGCTGGCATGCATTGAAATAGTGATCGACCAGAAACCGCGCTTTGTTACWTGAAATATTCTTATAATCCTTTATAATTTTTAAATAATTGGATATGCTATGCCTCCATTTAAGGTAGATTTAATATGAAAGTAACATATTTTGTTTTATTATCTTACCGTATCCACCAGGTTGAACCCGCGATCCGATCCATTATTGATTGTAGTAGAAACAMAATATTATAAGTAGGTATGTAATTCATAAAATATAACTGTTTTAAATATATATGTATAAAAATAATATTCGTTAATGAAAAACATTAAAAATGTTTCCTCAAATAAATTTGCTTTCATAAAAAAAGGTTGTTAAAAAATGTAAATGGTATGTTTTTTCATTCGTAAAAGATAACTTATTTTTGTTATTTCAATACATTTAGTTTAAATAACATTTAAAATATATTATGTTTTATATAACTGTGATCAAAAAGTCAAGCATGCGAAATTCGCAAAGGATAAAATGTACCACCATATTATGTCAGTATAATTTGTAATTTAGTGCATATAGTAGTGATTTGTATGTTATGCGTCTAGAATATAATATTTAACATCGATACTTGTATCAATTGGATTTTGATTGTCAAATGGACTAACTATCATAACCATCAAGTTGTGAATAATGTGAATCATTTCATCATTAACATTTTCCAATAATTTGAACATTTCACGTTTACCTCTCAGGTTTTATTTTCAAAAACAGTTCAGGTGAATTACACAGTAATATAAAATAGAATAATTAATTAATTATTTTTTGCTCGAAATTTGTCGGTAACGTGTTGGGTTTCAATCAATMAATATTATATTACCTATCAACATTTGAAATGGGTTGACAGATTATCTGCTGACTCAATCGTAAACATCTTATCTTGATTCGTTAGGGTAAGGATTTATATATGTTTTCGTTAATTTTCAATTCAAATACAAATTTGACCAGGTTTAGTCGTCCAAGATTTACGAAGCTCATTTCAAAAACGGAGTATTTTATTTTAGAAACATCTTATGCAAAATTGCGATGAGTGAGACCGGTTATTTGCGTGGCAACTTTTAAAATTCAGAATAATTTTTCTTAAATATATTTGAATATTTTGTTTATGATTAAATACTATGTTTATTGTTTATTTTCTTTAATAAACTGTCCTCTCAATTTTCGTACATATTTTCTGTACAAGATAATATCGATGTTTCCATATGTCAGCCGTCCCGTGAGCGCTCACTTTTTTTAGGTTGTTATTAGTAGGAATAACTCAACGATGGGGTGAGTCTAAAAGTACGTTATTCCTGGGCGAGGATTTTTATTTTWAAATGAAGTCAAAATGTATAGATTCTTATATTAAACCGTGTTGTGTTTTGAGTTTTCTGACATAAACTGGGTAATATATTATAATAAAATTATTGAATTGGCATAAATATTGAACACAAACCGAGTTATCATAATGATTCAGCGGCACTCTACATAATATGAAAAGTTTTTCGTTGGTAATCTGTGAACAGATCTGACTATAGTCACTTTTCGAATGTCTTGTTTTACATAAATATATATTAAAGCAAAAACATTACCAACAACTCGATTATAAAATATCTACAGGCGAATATTTTTATAAATTAACTGTTATTCTTTTTGCAATCTAAAATTAACTTATAAATAATATATAAAAACACTTCACGGCCCAATGAAGATAGTAGTTGAGAATAATATAGTGGTATCGAGCTAGAGTGCCAGGCAATAATTGTGGTCAAGTTATAGTGGTTTGAAACACAGTATAGTCATAAGCAAGAAAATAGTCATGATCAAGAAGTATAATTTCTAACAAGACTCTAGTCGTAAGCTAGCAGTACCTACCTGTGAGMAAAAATGACCYGAAGAAAAATGATAAATAATAAAATAAAATAAAATTGAAATAGAAAAATATTTCCATATTTCTATAGGTATGTCCAATACCATATTACCATTTAGACGATGAATTTGTTTTGACGAATTTTCATCTATAATACGTATTTTTAAATGATAAAAATCGTATATTTTATTATTGTCTTCCTTATAGTTCTTTAATTTAAATATTAATCTGTTAAAGTTGTTTATTAGCTATTAAGAAGACTATAAGTGAGCATGTAA